AGAAAGTCGCAAACTGAAAGACATTTTAAGGTATATATGGAGAGCTTATACTCATTTGAACCAAATATAATTTGATTTAGAGCTTCTGCTGATAATCTCGGCTTTCTTGAAATTGATACCAAAATCAATGTGATCTTTAACAATCTCTATCATCTTTAATTTATTGAAGCAAATGTCTATCCGTAGGAAAGAATATTTAAGCCCGAAGAGGGGCACGAAAATATATTCTTTATATCGAGTGATCTTTGTTAGAAATATCACCGGGGTATAAATTCTTCCACGACTGAAATCCCTTGATTTTTCAGCAAATTGACCGACTAGTGTAAACAGTTAACTATGATTTTTAAGGCTACTCGTACTTTGCTCTTAAGACTTTTAACCCTAAGAGTGACTAGCATCTAATTTCTCCTTACAATATCACCTCCAAAATCACACATTAAGGTTACAAGAAAAAAGGAAATGATCAGCAATGATAGAAGCTCTAGATTGTTAAACAAATTCTCCTTAGCAGCACCTTAGGAAAAGTATTGAGAACAGTATGGAGAATATGTTTACTGATGTCAGGTTGTAAAGAGTTAATTGAAGCTGCAACTTTTTATTATAAGGTTGTTATCAATTCATTATCATTCTATTTGGCCTGTCAACTTGCCTTTCCTTTTTATTTCAGCTGACGGAAAACTGAATAGGCGTCGATAAATGAGAGGTGATATATAGGGTATACCAATTTACTACCTTTTCTTTCGCCCTGGGGGTAACCCCAATGTACAGATTACTCGATGGGTTACTGTGTAGCACGAGAACCTTAGGATTCTTATGTAACCCGTACTACCCACGGATTAGCTATCATTTGAGTTTTGCGGGAGCAAAAGTTTTTGTTTTCGAGATGAAAAAATAAACTATAAACCTGTCTCTGGACTTATTTTCCTGATTTTTTGAGTAAGCTGCTGAACATAAAGCGACCAAAAAAAAACCATACACTGTGATTTACAAATTTTCTTATCACAGAAGTTATGTGAAGAGTTGCTACACAGTGGATGATTCGTAGATGGATATTCCGAGTGAGTTCGAATACAAAGGTTGAAGAGTCCTCTTCTATTTCCAGCTTCTCGTTGACCAAAAATGTGTCAAAAATGGTACAAAATTTCTTGACCCAACTGATCTCTTAGTGGCCTACTGTTGTTTCGTCAAAGTATCGCGTTCTGCAAACATTGAAAGAGATTCGGTACATCATCATTAAAAGGTTGCGTTATCCTCTCTTCGTAGGTATCATCGGTAGAGGTGCAATCATATGAATCGGTGATCTCGATTGCTCATGACCCGAGATCTAAACAGTGGCTCAGATGGAAGAACAGGTATTAAAAAAGTGAACTTTGTGAAAGATCATAATTTGCATTGTCTCGTCTCCACAAGGATTCTCATTGGTAGGATGTTACTTACAACTCGATTTTGACATGGGAACTCCGTAAGGGGCCCCTCACTCTGGGTAATGAAAAGAAAATTCTCATACAGGAAAGTAAAATCATCCCTTGAAAACCAAGTAAACACACCCACCCATTCACAATTTCCTTCAATTAAGCCTCTGTTATGCCGGTGTTACCCCCGAGAATCCACATTATAGATATTCATTTATAACTGATATCAAAGACCATTTATACATTTCTTAAATTTATTTTAAACCTGGTGTTAGGGGTCCGGTTTATACTGAGAACAAGAAAGCTGATAAAAAACTCTTTTTCAGAAACCACAATATTCAGTGACATATGTACACGTAGCAACAAACTTTCTACTAGGTAAAATAAGCTGATAAAAACATTTTATCTTCAAAGATATCGAATATATTTAAAACATTCTTACAGTTGAGAACTACCTTCTATTGATGCCTACTATTCGTAAACAAGATCCCCGTCAAACATATAGTCTTTCGTTCACGTAAAAATTGTTTTAGAAAAAACTTAAATTTCGGAGCCCCTCTATTGAATTATTAACAGCAGTAAAATGACAACCTATTTGGAGGGAGATATCTAAAACGTACAAGCATGGATTTCTTCTGTGCTTGCACTACTGTTTCTTCTAGACTTGGCACAAATGCCGATCAGACAATCGGGGTAGATAGTTACATGCACAATCTCAATGTTCCTCTGAATGTCTTTTGAAACTTTTGAAAACACCAACGATACAACTTTTGACACAAGTTCCATCCATAAATATTTTAGTTAGAAGATAAATTCAACCTTCCTTGCATCGTATAATGACGAGTTTTACCATGGCACGTGTCACTGCACCGTAAATGAAAGGAAATTTGTGAAATTTATATAGAGGCCTGTGTACATTCACAAGTACTACGACAGGTCTTTCCAGACCACTGTACTTAAGAACCGAGCTGATTACAATGTTTTCAGAATCATTGTCCTTTGCAGACCTCCAAGATAAACCAGTCAACTTCGCAGAGAGCCTGTCATCGGAAGGAATTTCATCATGCTTCAAAAACAATACCGCGATATCTCTCTCATTGTACCCCTCTTCCAAAAACTGGCGCAACGTAGTAAAGAGAACATCCAGTTCGGTTTTTTCGCTCTTTGAATAATATATTGTCCTAACATCGTCTCCATCGAAGTCGTGCCCTATCTCAACCTTGTCTTTCGAATCATCACCGACAAGATATTTTTTTGCATGCTTGAATATCTTCGCTGAGTTACGAATGACCTTTCGTAACCTAACGTGCGGTTCTTGCCTGGTTTCGTCAGGAATACCTGGTAAGGAAGAAAGAAAGTGAGTAAGTAAGTGGGTAAATGAATGATTGAGTGGGTGAGTGAGTGGTTGGGTGGGTAGGTGGATAAGTGAGTGAGTGGGTGGGTGAAGGGTGGATGAGTGAGTGAGTGAGTGGGTGGGTGGATGGATGAGTCGGTGGGTGGGTAGATGGGTGAACCAGTGGGTGGGTTAGTGAGTGAATGGGTAAGTGAGTGAGTGAGTGAGTAAACAATACCTTTATTTTGGACACAGTGGTGGTTAAAGCATGAAGCTTGTGGGGTCTTATATCAAAAGATAAAGGTTAAATAAACTAAATAAATCTGGATAAAATACATGTATATGTACAATTTTGAGTTAACAAAAGTAAAATATAGCTGAAACTAGGATGAATATTAAATTTGGACACACACCTGACGGAAAAGAGTGACTCTTTTGGCAGATGTCAATGAAACACCACAAGTATCCTGGTCTGTTGGAGTCATGCTGTCGCACTAGATTCCTCGCCTTCTCATACCAGGAAATTGTATCACGCTGCCGGAAGTTGTGAACTTCATCAAGTATCACATGCTTAGTTTGTGGAAACTCGGCATGGTTGATGAACGTTTCACGGCAAATGGCATTGCATAGATGGGTTTTCCTAACGAGTGAAACAAAATATGATTACATTACTTCGCTACACAAACTTTCACCAGACTGAGAAAAGATAATCACCAGGCTGGTTTTTGGTTTCAGACCTTTTTTTCGTACTTCGAATCTTAGTTGGATAACAGTAGCAAACGGCTGACTCAATACACCGATATCGCTTATATCAGGTAAAAGAAGTCCCAATTTTTTACTAGATTTGGGTTTGGTCTCAACGGCATGAATCAACAAGAACAATTAGCGGGGAGGGGAACAAAAAGATTTTGAGTTGATAACCAGTTTTCCGCTTGCATCATTTGCGAAGCAGACTAGTTCTTAAGTGGAGTTGTAACAATAGGAAATTCTTACCTTACTTGGCTTGCAATGCCTTCATTTTCACAAACATAAAGGATTTCATCCCTTTGTAATTTCTCCCGGCGTCTAAGTTCTCGCATGAATTCCACTGCAACAAGGGTCTTTCCTGTTCCAGCGACTCCCTTTATCCATAACTCCCGATTTACTTCAATCTGCTGATGAACCAAACGAAACTGTTCCGTGGTAAGGAGGTTGAAAATGGTCACTCCTAACTTGCTGGACAGAGTAGAGGGCACAGCAGCAACAGTTATCACCATAGCTTTTAGTATTTCATTAAGTTTCTCTCGGGGAGTAAGGAGATCATAAGACTTCGGGTAGCGATCGTCAGGTACTGGGAGTCCCACTTCTCCACCCGCGCCACATGGTAGCACGTGGTATGACACATAAAACTTTTGGCCCCTGGCGCCATTTTCGGAAAGTTTTTTCTTTATGGACTGTGCAGCCTTTTTGCTATATTTCATAGACTTCTCATCTGCCGCATCGCATATAGTGTACAGGTGAAGTCCACCCATGTTTCGGCTGATAAGAAGAACGTCACAGATGACGCTATCGATTGCGGTACCTCCAGTATCGCGAAGCCAAGAACGTGATACAGCCAGAAAACCCCGATAACGGTCCCTGCAACAAACTTTCTGAATGTTGCGTATCGCTTCCTGTGCCTCTAGTGGAAAGGTAGACTCTATACCGCTCGGTGAAATTGAGAACTTCTCATCAACTGCAATTAAAATATCAAAAAACTGAGATAAGAGAAAAAAACTCGTGATAAAAATATTCCCTAGTCCACGTATTAGAGTCCACGTATTGCAATTCTTCTTGCCCGTGGTCAATTGCACACAGGATTATGTCAACCGAGAGATATGGAAGCAACAAATATTGTACACATCTCTTAAGTACGTGCACATAGAGTACCTCACTGAGTTCCATGGATCGCAGGGAGGGGATTGTCAGTTTCATAATTTAAATACTATCTTTCATATCAAGGCAAAAAAATATATTAAGGATGGAATGTTTTCCTTGTGTCCTGTGAAACAACTTGCTCAACCACACCCGTCATTTTTTTTAACCAGGTATTCAGACGCCAGCCAGTTGCTATGAAAATGTTTGTTGAGAATCTAGCTTTTGAAAAGATAAGGCGGAGATTTATGTTGTGCGCATGTGCGAACGAAAGTTAATTACGACCTAATATCGTTTTCCTTACCATACCCCAACAACAGTCAACTGATAACAAGTAAGGATTAATGTTAGATTGGGGGAGGGGTCGGTGCGCAGTAGTCCAGAAACTGACATTGATCAAATTCTATCCAATACGAACCAGGAAGATGTCGAAAATCGGATAAAACGAATAAGTTGTCAATAAGCAAAAAACCGAAAAAGTTGTCAATAAGCTTTTTATAGAGTAAGAGAGATAGTACGTTTTGAGCTCTTAAAGAAATAGAGAAGTATGTTTTTTCGTCCTGTCACGAGCTTGGAACAAAGAAAAAATCTAAGCCCCCATGAGGAATAGAACCTCAGACCTTCGGATTCCGCGCTCAGATGCTCTACCACTGAGCCACAGAGACTCTACGGTGAGCGAGGTCTATTACGAAGTTCATATGACACGCGTCCTGTCTATTGCTAGGATCAGCAATGTCGATAGCGTCATGTTTGTGAATAGAAATAAGAAAGATGGTGAGTTTTGAGCTCGGTAAAGTAAAGAAATATGTTTTTCGTCTTGTTTTTCGAGCGTGGAACAAAGGAAAAAAAACGGACGCGTGTCATATGAACTTCGTAATAGACCTCGCTCACCGTTGACTCTCTGCAGCTCAGTGGTAGAGTAACGGAGCGCGGAATATGAAGGTCGGAGGTTCGATTCCTCAAGGGGACTCAGGTTTTTTTCATTGTCCCACGCTCGTGACAGGACGAAAAACACTGATCTTTTTCTAAGCTTTTTATAGTTCTTACTGATTTCTGAAATGCAGCTTACCTGTAAAAAACGCATCCCTTATCCTCTGAACATCACCTTTCACCGTTAAAAGATGTCCATTAGATATGTGCATCCTTCGGAACCTTTTTAGCATATCTTCCATCACTAAAAAGTAAAAGAGATGACATGAAGGAAATTAAACATTTACCTGTGGTCATAGCTAGGGTTCGTGCTTTTGGGCTGACTATTGTAAAAACAAAACCGAAGTAACCATGGCGGCCCTTCAGAGCAAAGGAATATATGACAAGGAAAGCCGGAATAAGAAATCAGAGTAAAAACATGAAACCTGTCTGAAAGGCGGGAAAACACGATTGACCAAGTCGCATTTAGTTTTAGATTTGTATCTGATTTGTTGAAAGGATAGCACGAAATTTCTGGACCAATTATAGAGTGAAGAAAAGCAAAAACAATGCAATCTTGGGCTACTTATGTTCTTGTAGTAAATATATTGAGAATTCTCCTAAACCAAAGCGATTCATTCGTTTTATGATTTGACCTGAATAACAAAATACACCTCTGGCTGAACTTGGAGGTATTATGAAAATGATCATCGTTTATTATTATAAAATTTATAGACCACACTTTCTATCGGGACACCGACGGGATATCCCGCGCGGGATGTTAAGAGGACACCACGAAAGTTTGCAAATCAAGCACCGCAGAAGGGCGATTTCCAATTTTTCGAGAGAACTTCCAATATTTTAATTGCATTGCACCGGTAAACCGATAAATTGTGCGGTTTATTGCTTTAATAAAATAATCATATTCCTTATTCTAAAAGCGCATGTTTTTGTATAAGTACACACCTTTGGTATTCCTTGGCAAATCTGCATCATCAGGCTTCATTCTCTCCTTCCACTTGTCAAATGCAACGAGATGAGGAACCTGCTGGCCATTTATATCACATCGCAATTCATAACTTTCGGGGCATTTTGCAAAAATTCCACCAGAGTCGCGAATTCCTGCCATTTTAATTACTATGACAGATTTGGATTCAGATCCAGAGACATCAGAGAATGTTAAATCCCAATGGATGCCTCTTTTAAGCTCAAAATTATAGCAAATATTCTCAGTGAAAAGGGAAATGACACGTTCTTCAACATACTCTTTACTGTCTACACCAGAAACTCTTCGGTCATCTCCTACTCCGATAAGAAGAACTCCACCATCACAGTTACCAAAAGCTGACAACTGTCTGGCGATGGTAAAACGCTGCTTATGTTGTGAAAACAAAAGAGAAGTGAAATTTTTATATTGAACCTATTTGCCCTCGATCAAGCTGATTATCCCCTGGTCGAGGGCACTCGTATATAGGAATTTAAGTCCTTTTTGCAGCCTTCAAACTTCAGAAAATTGACGACATCGTCGTACGTAGCTTCATAAACACCCGCATCTCCTGGTACAAATAAATTGTACTTCATTGTACAGAAGTGATTAGGAGCATTGATGAACAGCAATATTCTGTCAGACAGTACACTTCGGTCGAAAACATCGTCATACCTTGATGGACGAATCATTCTTCTCAATTGCTCCTCGATGGTTTGCCAGAAACTATCCACAGGATCCTTCTGACTTGTGCTACTATTCTGGGAGTTGGAAATTTTCATTTCCAACACTCCCCCACCGGAATTTAGGAGAGCGTTGCACATCCGTAGAATATTCTCGCTTTGAATGTCACTTTCTTCATTTCCTGATTCTTTGCCTTCTTTCTTCATCTCTTTTTTCTTCTTTTTCTGCTGACTTGCATAATTTGTTCCAATATTTATAGCGAAACACAGATGATTCTCACAGAATTCCCTGTATTCAATATATATAAAGTTTCACTAGGATATAAATCTGACAAGCAAAATTGAGGAGCCAAATGTAGAATGCTTGAGGGTCCTCGAAAATATCTCGCTGGTATTTAAAGAGTGGTTGCCGTTTTTGTATTTCTTACGTTTATTGCCTAGAAGTCCGAATTCTGTTTTCTTAGGGTCATTTCCCTCTATAAGAGTCGTTTTCCAGTCAAGAAATCAATATGCACAATAAAACTAAAATACATGCATGGGGGCCCAAACAGGGAATGCTCATGCATGAAATTTTCACTAAACGTGCAGAAAAACAGTATTTGCAAACATCCTGCTGACAGCAATATGCTTCAGAAAGCTTTACAGATGCAGTGGGTAAGATGCAGGTTTGCGGGAAATACATGCAAATGGCGTCTTTAACAGAATGAGTTCCAACTCAACCACGTTTTACTGAGTGGACTGGGAGCCTTTAGGATTTGTTTGCCCTAATTTCCCCAAAACCTTTTTTTACAAGTTGGGATGAATTTTCCTGGTAGTAAGGATAGTGTAAAAAATTATGTTTGATTACATTTTATTAGGTTTTGCTTGCCCTAATTTTCCCAAAACATTTTTTTTCAAAGAATATAAATGTTTGTGAACACCTAGTACTGCATACAATAACAATAAATGTGAAGTTTCTACCAAATGCAGTAAATTCAAAATAAGCAAAGTTTTCTTAAAATGCCAGTATGCATTCCAGGAATCCAATTTCAGTATTATACTAGCAATATAATTTTAATTACCTGTTACTGCCAGTTGCCTCAGTGCTTAGAGAGGAAGAATTTCCCTCTTGCGTGTCTTCATCAATTTCCATAAGTTCAACATAATATTCTTGGGATGAATTTTCGCTGTAGTAAGGATAGAGTAAACAATTACTCAAGGTAAACAAAGGTCTGGATTTAAGTAGCAACCCTTAAGCTTATTTTTTTCGGGGATTAAACAGCCCTCGACAACTTTCATCAGCAAATTACTTTTTTATATACATATAAAAGTTTGATGTAAATCCATTTTGAAATCACTGGTGATCCTTGCAATCTGATTAGCTTACAGCAGTGCCATTTTTTCACTAATTGCACATCTTTTTTTGCTATAAATTACATCTTTTTTCTAGCCAGTGAGAAAGCAACCCTAAAAATATATTACCAATAAGATTTCAAGGCTTTTTTAAAGTAACCAATCAAATTGAAAGAAAATGAAGGGCTAAAAAAGCTAACATAACATAACTAAGTCCAGGGTTGTCAAAAAGCGCCGGCGACCGGCGATATCGCCGGTTACTTTTTCAGTTGCGCCGGCTTCAGTTCGTCGGTTAAAAAAAAAAAAAGACAACTGAAGGAAAAAAGAAAGGTTTTGAATCTACTGAAACCAAGAATGAAGTGCCTCATATTGTGGAGTAATGATAAAGAAAAAAAAACGCAACAAAAGAAGAATCGGAAGTACGGTAGTGTTTTGTATTTCGGAACGCTTCTCAATGATTTCCACTAGATGTAATCCGATGCCCGCCGACACGACTAGACGCAAAATGATTGCCTGTTGTTTTCTGTGTGCTAATTCCATTAGTTTGTTTTCCGAATTTCTCGAATTCGCTGATGCTTGATACTAATTTGGTATCTCACTTAAAAACTAAATGGGAAATAATCTTGAACCAGCCCTTTCTGTGTCATTTGCACTTTCATACAATTCTGCAGTTCACCGTTGTTTTGATAAGCAACCGCACATCACGTCAAATAATTTCTCACGGTCAAAATACGATAAATATTTCAAGTTGCACTGATGGCAAGATAGCAACGGTATTTTTGAGTCACAGGAATAATCGAAAGAAGATGCAATCCTGTTTGGAACCAGTAGTCTCTTTCAATTCTACACTTACTGTACACTTTGAAGGAAAGCACTGCTACTCCAAACTTTTTTCTTTCGCGAAAAAATTTGTGCTGTGTCACATGTGAGAAGTGACTACTAAATTGTTTTTTTAACCTCACTAATAAAAATGATTAAATCTTCTTAGAGTGGTAAAAGGAATGTTAACTGTTGCCAGTTAGTGCAAACATATAAAAATTGCTTCAAGGAGAGGCAGTTTCAGCTTGTGGAAAAACCCTACATTCGTTTTGCTTCAGGGGGCTTCACCCCTGGACCCCCAACGGGGCACCGTCCCTGTACCCTGGTGGGGGCCTCGGCGGCCCCCAGACCCCCCGCCTAGCGTAGGGGCCTTTGGCCCTCAGTGCGGCCTATTTTCTTACATTCTCCTTCTACTTCAAATCTTTTTGACAACCCTGACTCACCTAAAGCTAGAATCACTCTGCTATTGCCTCATGCAACTCTTATGCATATATTCAACAGCAAATGCTGTGGTGTTGACCTTTTGTTACATTTGAGATATGGTTTGCAACTTTTTTTCCAAAAACCTTTTTTCCCTAAAAAATAATACTTGTGATTTCAAATCAAACTTACACTGCATGCTCATTTGATTTTTAAATCATGCATACAGCTTTATGATTTCAGACCAAATTACACTAGATACTCAGTTAACATTCCATTACATATGGTTCTGCTCCTAATGGGTGAGACTGAGCATTTGATGAATAACATCTTAAGTCATAGATCAGGTAATCAACTACTCCATAACATTTCTTTAGATTGCATAATGATTGCTGTAAATGATTTACCATCTTTAAGATATTATATGGAAAGATGGACTGCCTCTCCTCTGAATTATTAAAATTAAAAAATACCTCACTGGATTAAAAATCCAGTGAGGTATGCATCACTTCCTTGAGACCCAAAATAACCACTATAAAAAGAACAAATCAGATTAACTGCATCTGTATATGAACGGTAGTTTTTGCGATATGAACATTTAATGGCATCTAAATATAAAAACAGCATGTTTAATAACAATTGCAGATATTGTAAATCTGTTACTAAGCACATCAAATTAAGCACAAGACATGGAATGCTTCTTAACCCTTAATTTCTAGGAGTGACCAAGACAGAATTTCTCCACACAATTATTATACAATATTATGCTGACAAGTTATGAAGATAAAGAAATGTTAATTTGGGGATTATTAGTTGATCTAACACTAAATTCTTGGAGCTAAAATCATAACAATGGTATGGCAGAGGTGGTAAGGAGAATTGGTAATGAGATCTTGGGAGCAAAAGGCTAAGATGCAGGGTGCTTAATCAAAGGGAAAGCACTTATTTAATCTAATTTCTTTTCTGGCATAGCATTGGTGCATAAGCAGCAACCTCATTTTGTGTAAAGTACAAAACTGAATGACAATGCTAAATTTTAAGAGGCCATGTTAACTTGGTATTACCAGGACTCTCTAGCCACCTGTAATATTCAGTGGTTTAAACAAGTTTTAATGAAACTAATACTATCAATGGCATGAGGACACTACTCTATGTTCATGCAAAATCACTAACAAACACAAATACCACTCAAGTAACAGCAATGGTGTAGAACAAACCTGTCATACAACACTTCATCATCCTGTTGACTCTACAAAGCAAGAAAGATAACAAGCTATCCATGAGAAAAAGAGTCCACCATGTGATTGTCATACATTGGTAAATAAATCAATAAGATCGCTTGAAACACTATGATTGCAGTATGTATTAACAAATTATGGTTACACAAAAGGGCCACTTTCACTGATCATCGAAAGCAATCCCTTAGGTTTTGCTTACCTTCACTCTGAAATTGGTCCTGAAAACTTGGCCACTTTCTTAACCAATGTGATTCAAAATGACAACCGATAGCAACTGACCAAGGTCAATTGTATTTTCCCATACTTCAAACCATTTGCTTGTTTATACTTTCTTACTTTGAGTACTCTTATTTGATACTTTCCTTGCTATGATTGGTGTTGATTGCTTGGTTTAGGTTTCATCACACCTCATCAAAAAGCGCACTAAAACAGTGTGTAAGGGTATTCTTGGTACTTACAGCATTTACATGTACATCGTGTTTTGTTTTCTTAGGTTCTCCTGTGATATCCTTTGAAAGACGTCTTTTATTACTACTCATAGCTTTCTACAGATAGTCTGAAAAGAAAAACCCTGCATTCAGTCAATAAGTAATGAAAATTTGGAAATGGAAAACGCAGCACAATGCAAATTACTTGTATTTCACAATTTATAAAATATACTATCTGAAATTCGATAACTTCTCTTTAGGAATCAGCAAAAATGTGCAAGGACTATATGTGACCTTGTTATTGATGAATTTGCCTCTCATTAACAATGACAATTGAACTGAGTGGAGCCAATTCTGGTCTGAAGTCGTACTTATGATCACTCATAACCCCATTTCCCTTATAAACTCTCATAAAGTAAAACTCTATGAGGATTTCATGCTTTTATAGCTGTTTTTGGAAGCCTCAGCCTTCCAACTTAATGCCAGTTATTTGTACTTTTTTGGGTGTTTTTGTTCTTTTCAATCCCCCCAAACACTCAGAATTAAAATGTTGTAACTATCTCCTAAGCTGTCCGCCATTCTGTTTTGGTGTACCTTGCAGTTTAGTTGTCAAGCAATTTAATTTCAACTCTCTGCACTTAATTTCTGCGCTCTGCACTCTTTGAGAATAATTGACGTGTTCTTGGCCAAGGAGCATGCTGGAATTTTTGCACTCATGGTGAAGTGAATTTATATGACCTTATATGATTCGTCGCGATTACATACCGATTGTTGCGCTGCTGAGCAGAGGGGAGCAGAGAACAGATGTGCATTTTGCTGCGAATGCGCCAGTTAAAGTTGTTTGTTGACAGTAACCGCTGGCATGCGCCCGCACCGCGCGTACGTATTTGTTTCCCTCCAGTTTTCGAATAGATGCGGTAGTAGTGGAGCACGAAATACAATGGCTCGTCTATTTGTGTTCGTTGTCATTCTCGAGATTTTTTCTCAATGTTACTTGGCTGAAAGCGCGAAAAAATCGAAAAATGGTTGCGTGATGTGCGGGAGAAAGTCCCAGCCGCGTTACTTTCAAAAGGCGAAAAGTTATGAAAAAGAATTCAAATGTTGTTTTGGGATAGTAGGGAGAGCGATCGATACAGAGGACGTTATTTGTGAAGGATGTAGGAGGGCTGTAGAAGAACACAGGCGAACTGGAAATTCGTTTCAGCATGTTAGTGCTATCTCAAGTTATCACTGAACATTTGAAGTACTCACTTACGCAAAAATTAAAATTTAACCAAAGTTTCTTTTTTGTTCAAAAGTTTGTTGACATGAATCGCAACCAACGGGGACGAATACCCAAACACAAAAGATCAATGTTGAGTAAAGAAAAGTCAGATAGCAGTAGTACTAGAGAGATGGTAGTTGTATCCAGGGAGAGTTTATTAGAAATGGAGGAAAAATTACGGATTTTATCAGCGAGTAAGTAACCTTTTTTCAATCATTTGTCTTGGAAATTCCAGATTTGGGAGCTGAAATTAGCAATATTAGACACTTAAAAATCTACTTTGAAAAAAAGGAACGCATCTTTGAATAAGTTTATAATGTGACGAATTTCATTTAAAATTGAATACTTTATTTGGACCAAACTACCCCTGAACCAAAACATATAGGAATTGCACCATTTGTGGAGGAATAAGTGCAAAGGCATCCTCAGCTTCTGAATGGAATGTCTGAAAGGATAAGAATATGCAAATTAAAACCAGTCAAACTTTTGGGCTTCCTGTTGAAATGTAAATTACTGAATAAAGATTGCTGGCCAATTCCAACACTAACCCCAACTGGTTAATGAATCAAATATCTCCAAATAAAAACTTTATTGATGTTCATCAAAGACAGATTTGTACTTGGCAACTTCAATCTTCGACCTTTTTAAATAACAAGCATTTCGTAACAACCTGATGGTCTGACGAGACTCTTATTACAGGCAATAAAAACAAACTTGTACAACTGATAGTATCCTTGATACTGAAAGTCAAACTTGTTTCCATAGCTTGTATCCCCCAGGAACAAGACTGAACAAAACTAGATGACTAAATCAAAATAATGAGAAGAGTTTTGTTAACCTTGCTATGATATCATACGTACATTGTGGCAGAAGTAGTGATGAAACTTGTTTTTGAGAACTACCATTAGGCTTTCACATAATGAGCCCCTAATTATTATGACTTGCAACAATATGAAATTGAGATTTCAGTTGAATGCAAATTTTATTTCCCACCCAATGTAGGATGTGATATGACAGAGGAAATAGCATTGGTCAAGAAAAAGATTTATGATGACATAGTATTTAAAAAGGCAGAAACAGTGTATGATCCGGACAGTTTTAGAGAGTTTTGCATATCAGCAGGTGCAACAAAGTTATTTGACACTATTCTGGATTCAGTCACTGGTTCTCAGCATTCCACCGACCGCATATATCTAAACGAAAAAAGGGTTGTTTCATTCATTTACAATTTGTGCTACTACCTCAGCCAAACATGCAATCCTCTTCAAATGGATCATGCTCTTTATCTCACGAGTAATCTCATAAATCAAGAGGGCATTGAAACAGAACATATCATGGGGCATACATGTTCCAGAAGAACTTTAAACAATGTTATGCACAAAATGTCACAGTCTCATTTCAAATCTTTTGAATATTTTATATGTACAGCTACAGATTGCAAATGGCTAATAGTGCTAATAATTGATGATTTCACAGCCATTCACACAAAAAGAAGACCACAAGAGGAAAAATTGTCAGAGGCAAAGACAATGTGTACCATAGTTGTTAAAGGTTTTAAAGATATTTCAGCTGTACCTGTAACACATGCCCTTTGTACTCATGACCAAAATGGTATAGATATTGAAGCATGCATACAACTAATTACTGCTGCATCATCCATGCACAACATTAGTGAGAGTTATGCTTCTGTGATGCCTGACTGGCTCACTAAGGCATTTTTTTATTCCTGAATTTGAGAGACATAGAATCAACATTCATCAATGCTGTGACAGTGACAATGTGCGAACAATAGGCAAAATGGATGATTTGCACCTATTAGATTTTGTAGAACTGAGACTGAAGTCAAAGGGGGACTTTGATACTGCCTATGATGTAGCAATGCACACTGGCTTGGCTGCTCAATCAAAGAAATTTATTGTTTTTCAGCCAGGGGATTGGCCATGCCAATTTTATTGTAGACAAATCATATATGAATCACTTAAGACATTTGTCAGCTCTCATCCAAGATTTTCAGACGCTCCTCTGCAACAGGACAATATTTTACCTGATCATTCCTCATATTCTTTTCCAATGACATCTGGTACTACTGACAATCTCTTGAACAACAGCTTGCCACAAGCAACATCACAGTCATCCATTCTGTCATTAGTACCAACTATTGGGCCACTTCACATTTCCCTAAACAGCAGAGAACACATTGTTCATTCCTACCATTCGTTTTTCAAAGCAGTATATGAAACAATTTTACCAAAAAGCAGATTGGCAGATAATCCCAAACCCTGGAGGATTAGTCTGATTCTTGAGATTGTATATGGTGGTTGGACACTTATACGCCACACTGTGATGTCAAAGTTCTCCTGCTTCAAGGATGCAGAGTATGGGACCCTATTCACTTAACTAGACAGCTATATACCTTTGGTGTTGTCGATATATAGCATTTCTTTCAAACTTAACAATTTCTCTGAGTATTTTTGAGCAATGATCAGGATTTGGATCATGTTTACTTGCCTTCAATGCCAGCACTATAACAAAGTACCACTTATTTGGTTCAACATGTGCTCTCACTGGGGAAACATGCTCCACAACTGTATAATCTAATAAGGAATTACATTGCCATTTTTGATGAATAAATGAATGAGCATACTCCGTTCACAGACAAAAGGTTCTGATTCTGCTGATGAACTTAGAAAGAAAGCAAAGACCATTTTCCAGTCAAAGGGTAAACAATCACACTACAGGTCATTTTTCACCACAC